CCTGTCCTGGAACTCACTCTGTAAGCCAGGCTGGCCGCAAACTCACGGAGATCCCCCTGCCTCTGCCTCCCCAGTGCAGGGATTGAAGACATGCATCACCATACCCAGCTTCCTGGGAACCTTTACATAAGCCCCTTGTTATCCAGCACAGTTCAGGGTAAAGGCCACAACAGTGTGAGGACCCCTCCCTCCACCAATACAGTCTTGCTGCCCAATGCTAGACAACCCATTCCATCAGCCAATAAAGAGATGTGCATGAGTGGGACCGGCCACTCCTGGGTTCAATCCTGTGCCAACCTCTAACTGAGCTACTGCCACCAGAACCAAGCCCCTTCCTCCCCAGCCCCAGGATTGCTTCCCTTTCAGCTCCAAGTTCTGAGACTTCACAAAGCCCCGGAGCCCCACGCTGGCTCAGCACAGGAACACAACCCCTCACACCCTGGGTCCTGGCCCAAGGTTGGCATCCCAGCCACCTTCCTGAGCCCCCAGAACTATCAGAGTCCCTTCCCTTCCCAGGGTACACAGCCTCCAAGAAGGGCTTAACTTTCCTGCCCTCAGTCTTACCCTCAATAGCAAGCCCACAAGAGTAGTGGCGGAGGCTCCCAGGCCTCTGCCTGCCAAACAGAGCCCCCCAGGCTTGGTTCTGGGGCCTCATGTCCCCTCCAGTGCCCTCACCATTTCTTGGTGCCCACAGTACCTCCAGGGCTCCAATCTGCAGCGACCAAGGCATCTGACTGGGCGTGCTGTGCTCTCAGAGCCTCCAGCCTGCCCGGCCTGGGTGGAGGAACCTGTTTTCCAGGTTTGTGGCGCCTGTAGAGGGGCCTCCTGCCTAGGGCAGGCCCCACCCTAACAGTCAGTCATCATGTCTTTGTGCATGAGCTGCTTGTGAGCGGTTGTTGCTCAGTCCCTCTGACCCTCTACAGTTGAAGCGAGGGTGCAGCGGAAAATGCAAGGAACCCCAGGAGGAACCCCAGCTCCAAGCCCCAGGTGGTGGGGCAGGCCTCCGAGAACCCATCAGACTAAGGCAGCCTTGGCTCACCGTTTCCACAGAGAAAGCACTGTCTTCTCCCTCATCTGGTTGCCAGGAGGCCAGCTGACCAGTGAGGACAGGAGCTCTAGAAGTCCAGTGAGGGATGGATTGCCTTGTAACACTCCTGCCTCAAAGCAGGTGTGGACCCAACAGCACAACCCCAGGGTTGGATCGGGCAGAGAAGGGGACTTACTGCACCTCACCTTAAGTCCTGCTCCGCCAGCCTCTCCTGAGTGGCAGCTGTGTGGCAAGCCCCATCCCAGGCCTGATGTATACAGCAACCACCAAAGCAATAAATCCCTGCGAGGGGCAGAGGTTTACAAGGAATCAAAGAGACTCAGGCAAAGGACAACTTGTGTGTGGTGTATCATTCATTTACCAGTCTACTGGGTAGTGTTGGAAGGGATAACCTGGGGGGGGGGGCACAGAGCAGAAGTAATAGGGATACCTCCTGAGTATCCCCTCCCAGTTCTCTGGCCTGCCTATCAACAGAACTATGGAAGAAAAAAAAAAAAAGATCAGATAGGGCTGGGCATAGAACTCAGTGGATAAAGTGCATGTGTACCAGTATGAGGACCACGGTTCAGACCCCAGAGCTCACCTGCTGGGTGCGATGGCCCACCTGTAATTTCAGCCTTGTAAGACAGACACTGTGGAATCCAGAGCAAGCTAGCTAACAAGACTAGCCACATGGACACGTTCTGGGTTTGGCTGAAAGACCCTGTGCCAATGGATAAAGTGGAAGAGCAATCCAGACACCCTTGCACCAGCACTACCACCACCACACACACTCACTCACTCTCACACACACACACATGCACATACACACACATACACACACATGCAAACACACATACACACACATGCACATGCACACACACATACACACATACACACACATATATACACACCACACACGCATACACACACATGCAAACACACATACACACACATACACACACCACACACACATACACATGCACTCACACATGCAAACACGCATACATACACACACCACACAAGCATACACACATACACATGCACACACACATACACACAACACACATACACACACATGCACATACACACACTCACACATGCAAACACACATACATACACACACATACACATATACACACACCACGCACACATGCACACATACACACGCACACACACATATACACACAACACACATACACACACATGCACATACACACACTCACACGCACATACACACACTCACACACATGCAAACACGCATACATATACACATACACACACTCACACATGCACACACACATGCAAACATGCATACACATGCACACACACATTGTACACACACATACACACATGCACATGCACATACACACAACACACATGCACACACATGCACATACACACACTCACATGCACATACACACACTCACATGCACATACACACACACTCACACACATGCAAACACGCATACATATACACATACACACACACTCACACATGCACACACACATGCAAACATGCATACACATGCACACACACATTGTACACACACATACACACATGCACATGCACATACACACAACACACATGCACACACATGCACATACACACACTCACATGCACATACACACACTCACATGCACATACACACACACTCACACACATGCAAACACGCATACATATACACATACACACACACTCACACATGCACACACACATGCAAACATGCATACACATGCACACACACATTGTACACACACATACACACATGCACATGCACATACACACAACACACATGCACACACATGCACATACACACACTCACATGCACATACACACACACTCACACACATGCACACACACATACACTCACACACATGCACACACACATACACTCACTCACATACACGCACACAGACACATGCACACACACATACACATACACACATGCAAACATGCATACATACACATACACATGCACACACATACATACACATACACACACACACATGCACACACACTCACACACATGCAAACACACATGCATACACACACATGCACACACATACACGCCACACATACATACACACATATACATGCACACACACATACACGTGAACACACACATACACACACGTACACACAACACACATACACACACATACACACACACACGCACACATACACAGACACACATGCAAGCATGCATACATACATATGCATATAACACACACAGTAAATGTAATTATTTAATAAAATTAGGAAACAGAGTGGCCAGAGCTAGCATTCCTGACAGAGTATCAGGCAGGCAACAAAATACCCGGGTGTATGAAGAAAACAGAAGCAGTTGTTGAGGGGCGAAACCTTTGCTCCAGAAGCTCCTGTATCAGAGATGCGGTTTTTCATCCTGTCCCAGATGCACCACCCACCTGCATTTCTGTGCCCAGACAATCCATGTGCTCAACGCTTGCATGGTGGGCTCTCAATGAGCACCTGATAATTACCATCATTATTCCTGATCTACAGACCAGAAAGCTGAGGCCCACCACGTGAAGGAGTGTGCAGCGCACACACTGTCCCTTGTCGATGGCACAGGGCTAGCGAGGGCCCCGGGGGGTGGGGGCAGTCAAAGGCCAGTCCAAAGATGGTCCAGTACAGTGTCCCCAGGGAACCCCGCTACAGTCGGTAACAGGGAATGGCCCTTGGCTCACAGGTTGGGGTGGCCCTCAAGGAGCCCAGGAGGCAGAAATGGGACTGACTACACCTGTAACCGCCTTGACCCACACCTCTGATGCCTTCCCTAAAATCCTCAGGAGCCTGTCCTGCCTGTCCTCTGTCCTTGGAGCAGAGGAAAAAAGTTTACAAGGAGCTAGTCACAAGGCCCAGGCTCAGGCCCAGGACCCCTGTGCTTCAGGCAGAGAGGAGTCAAAGGGAGGTGACAAAGGCCATATGCCCTGTCCCCTAGAATTTTCTCTCAGCCACCACCGCAGAGTCCTAAAACCCTGGAACACTGAAAGGCCATATGGAACCCAGACAACTGATTTTCAATGCTGTTGCTACTCATCCTGCCCACCCACTTTCTCTCCTGCTCAAGGGCCTCTTGTGTCCCAACCTGTGCAGGATTTCTTTGGGGCAGTATTTCCTAGTTGCCCAAGCTGGAAAGAGATGGGCTGACGGCGCCACCTGCTGGCCTTCCCGCGGTTTGTACCTTAAGAAGAACCCTGGAGAGGAGGTGGCTAGGAGTGAGTGTCTTATGTCCCCAACCCACAGACCGAGGAGCGACCTCAGGGTCACAACACCTGTCAACAGCTGAAGCAAGGTCTGTGGCTAGGGTCTGGGCCCATGAAGAGAGACACAAGCCTCTCCCTGGGAACAGGCTCTTGGGATAATTGTTCTGGTCTTGTTCCCCATGGTTGAGAGAAGAGAATCCAGAAAATGCAGTCCGGTAAAATGAGCAGTACATGAGAGGGACACGCGGGGCAGGCCATGCCGCATAGTTATCCCAGAACCGAGCTTCTGAGTTCGAAGACAGGAAAGTTTCCTAGGGACACAAGGCAGCTTTGGGCCTTCGAGAACCCGGCATTTCAAACCGTTACTTTGATTTGGCGAGAAGCGTGTGCCTCTGCCCGAGACGTGACTGCCTCCTGGCAGCTGTCAACGGTACAACCCGGGGCTGTGCAAACCAAGAGACGCGTGTGCGCCTCCTGCCAAAACACTGAACCTGAACCAGGCCAAAAACACATTCGCGAGGCTGCGCTCTCTCGGGGTCCCCCCTGCCCGCCAAGAACCAACGGCGTCCCTCTCAAACTCGCTACTCCACTGCGTGGCCCCGCCCCGATCCCCGCCTCCACTAGCTCCGCCCCCGATCCCCGCCTCTCCCGCAGACCGCCCGCCTTTCGGGATGTTGCGCTCAGGCCCCTCCTTCGCCCGCGTGATGTTCACAGCCTGCGCCGCACGACCGAGGCACGTCGCGCGTCACAGGCCCCGCCCACTGGACGCGCCGGCGCGCGGGGCGAGCTCGCCGACCCGGGCCATGGCGCTGGCAGGTGCACCTGAAGTGATCCGGGCGGCGCAGAAAGACGATTACTACCTGGGAGGCCTGCGGAGCGCGGCGGGTAGCGCGCTGCACAGCCTAGCGGGTGAGCGCCCCGGGCACCCAGGCAGGCGGCAGCTCCGAGGCTCCTTAGGAAAGCGAGGATCGATCGAAGCAGACTTGCACACTGCGGGTCTCTGCGCCAGGCAGTGCCTGCTTGCTGTTCTCAAACATTGGCCCATTTACTTCTCATACGTCCCTACAGGGTGGACCTAACGTTATTGCTCTTTCAGGGAGGCACGTGCATGTTTCCAGAAAGGTCTCGCAGGCTGGGCTTTGGGAGAGCCGAGATTTGATACTAAACAGGTGATCGGTCTCCGGCTTGTGTTCCTGGCACTACCTAGACTTTCCTGAGGGCTCCTAAGTTGTAGGACAGTAGTTCCTGACTTAAGACAGCTACATCTGAGAGATTCTTAGAAGTGGCCTTCTTCTCTCGGGGTCATTCATGTCAAGCAGGCGGGGAGAGAGGACAGGGCAGGGAAGCAGATGAGCCTGAGAAGCAGTGGAGTATCGCCCGCCCTAGCAGAGGAAGGACTTGACCTGGACTTTAAACCACCCCCAACCCGGGTGCGGGGGGGGGGGATCTCACTGAACCCAGTCCACTTCCCCAGAGGTAACGTTTTTCTCCTCTCAGGTGCCAAGAAGTGGCTGGAATGGAGAAAAGAGATCGAACTGCTCTCAGACATAGCCTACTTTGGCCTCACTACAATTGCAGGTAGCAGTGCTTGGCAGGTCCTTGGCACAGGGGCCCACAAGGCACCGAACCCACTGAGCAGCTTCTGGAATTCACCTGCATGTAGCCTCAGGGAGGAAGGACACTGGCCAGGCAGGAGTGCCCTAGACCCTCTAGAGGCTAGCCCTCAGCCAGGAGGACCGTCGGTTGTGCCATCCAGGACATCCTACTCCTCCACCCCCCCCACCCCTACCCCCACCCCCAGAGCTGAAGACCCAATCCAGGGCCTTGCGCTTGCTAGACAAGGCAAGCTCTACCACTGAGCTAAATCCCCAACCCCAGGACCCACTTCTCAGTGTCGAAGGGCAAGTCAGTACTGACCCATCACATACTGGCTATTAAACCCTTGTGATAGTTCTTTGGAAAGAAGCCGTGGCCAATGCCAGCTCAGCATCCAGCAAGGGATGCAGAGTGCCTATGAGAGACAGATGCCAGGAGGGGTCACTGTGGGTAGCCTGCCCCCGTAAACTACACCGTGGGTGGCGGGAGTGTCTACACTGTAAGGCATTCTGAGAAGTGTTGAGCTCTTCATTCGGGGCAAAACACCAAGTCTGGGGGAAAAGCATTTTCTGGTCAGACAAAGCCAGTAGCTAGGCACTGAAGAGGTCTCTCTCAGGAGGACGGCCTTAACCTTTCTGAGGCATTGCAAGATACAGACAAGGGAAGAGGCTAACTGCAGGCCATGAGCAGGCATGTGGGGGGCAGAGGTTGCTACAAACAGGGTCATGGTGAGGCATGGGGAAGAGTAGTTCACGGCACAGTGCAAGCCTGGCTTTGCCTTCTGCAGGGGGTTAAGAAAAGACTACTTTTTGGCAGGGGTAGGCTTAAGGGTGCTTCGTCTGACTCAATTCGATGCGGTCAGGTAAGCAGCTGACCTTTCACCTCATGCTTAGGACTGAGCCATGGTCTGGAAGGTAGGAAGCAGAGGACAGAGTGGGAAACTGGGCACAAACAGAGCGAGACCTGAAAGGGAAAGCAAGGGCCTGCTTTGAGTGGCAGTCTGTGTCACATCATGAAATCACAGGAAAGACCACAGTGCATTTAACAAGAAGTCATGTTGATCTTGGCTAGGTCTCATGGCGACAGCCTGGAAGGGCAGGCTCCGGGGTGGCTGGTGATGCTGGAGTGGGGAGGGGGGGTGAGGGGAGGGCGCAACAAGCTGGCCTAGAAGCTTGCCCCTGCATTGGACCCTCACCACTGTGTATTGACCCCCAGGGTACCAGACACTCGGAGAGGAGTATGTTGGGATCATCCAAGTGGACCCATCCCAGAAGCGTGTGCCCTCCATGCTCCGCCGTGGGGTGCTGGTGGCACTGCACGCTGTCTTACCCTACCTGCTGGACAGAGCACTGCTGCCCCTAGAGCAGGAGCTGCAAGCCGATGGTGAAGGGACACGGGCTTCACAGGGAGGTCTGCTATCTGGAGGACGCAGCAGATCAGGGGCAAGGCGCTGGGTGCGTCACCATGCGGCCACCCTGACTGAACAGCAAAGGAGGACGCTCCAGCGGGCAATCTTTATCCTCAGACAGGGCTTCGCCTGCCTCCATCGGTTCCATGTTGCTTGGTTTTATATCCATGGTGCCTTCTATCACCTGGCCAAGAGGCTAGCAGGGATCAGTTATGTAAGTAGCCATGCCAAGGGGGCTGATTTATGGGCTGGGGCCCTCTGGGCAGACTCTTTGGGACCCATGCTGATGGCGTGATCACAGCCAAGTGTTGTTTCTTCCTTCCTTTATTCTTATTTTACATATCGACCAAGTGTGTTTCTAAGTTGGAACTGAAACCCTGTACTTGGGAAACAGCACTTTGTTTAGTTACATTTTCCTAAAGATCCAGGGAAGTGAAGTTTCCACACACTGAAAGTGGAAGTCAGTCCTCTCCTCCCTCAACCAGCAAGCTGCAGAGCAGAGCCAGGCACTGACTGAGTGGACTTTGGTTTGGCCCCACAGTAGTTTTCAGTCGGCCTGTGGCGATGTCCCTTTAACTGCTCACGGGGATGAGCACCTATTCCAGGAGGTGCAGGTGCAGGTTCTAGCCTAGCCCAGCCCTTCCCGTCCATCCCTACCTACAGCCCTATCAGAAAGGTGAGGTCTTGGGGCTTGGCCTAAGAAATATTCCTACAGTGAGCATGTCACCGTGTCACACCAGTGGCCACAGACCTTGGTCTGTACTAGCCTGGTTGTTGTGTCTGGCTGCCTCCCACCTCTTCACACCCTGTTTTTTTTTTTTTACCAGTGCCCTTGCATCCTGTTACTGCCTCTCTCCCACCCCCCCCCCAAAAAAACTCCTTTCAGATATTAACTCCATGCGCACCACCCACCAGAGCTGCTCAGGTTTCCTGCCCGAGGGGACCACATGCCATCTCCCTCCAGTCTAACTACCCCTCCTACACACCCTCACCATAGAACCACCGTCTGGTCTCAGGGTTAGGCTTGGTACTGCCAGACAAGGGGTTATCCAACAAAATCCTCCCCAGTGTCACTTAGTTGAGCAGCTGTGCCCCCCTCCCTAATGGCTGCTGAGTGTGGCAGGGCCTGCCATCCTGTGAGCACAAGGCATAAGTGCCCTGGTGTCTTCATCCCCCTGCTGGTAAGAAGGGGCAGGACAGCACGGTTCTGTGAGGTGTGGATGGGAGTTATAGCACTAGCTACAGCAGAGGCAAGGGCAGGATCCTGTCAGAGGACTCAGTAAAGGGAACAGCATCTGCCTGTCCAGGTTCCCTCACTATTCACCATTCTACTCTTCCTCAGTTTCCTCCTCTTCCTCTGAAGTGGCCCCCAAACATCTCCAGAATCCTCACCGATTTTCCTGGCCCACTTAGCCTCCTGGCTGTTATTGTCTAACGCTGAAGGTCAACCTATAATTTGGGTTCTTCCTCACTACTTAATACTTGAACCCATCTCCCTGGTTGGTTGTTTTCTGAACACTCTCAGTGCCAAGGGGAGGCCTGGCAGAACATAAAACCCCCAGCAGACAAGAGGCCAGGTCCTAGGGGGATCCTGATAGCGTCGGGGCTGGGGGTGGGGGCACCTGTCTTAACAGCTCCACATTCGCCGCTTGCCTGGAGAAGACCTGAGAGCTCGTACAAGCTACCGACTGCTAGGACTCATCTCCCTGTTGCATCTGGCACTGTCTGTGGGGCTGCAGTTGTACAGCTTCAGGCAGAAGCAGCGAGCCAGGAAGGAGTGGAGGCTGCACCGCAACCTGTCCCACCGCAGGTGTGCGGGGGGGGGGGGGGGGGGGGGCTTGAGGTACTTTGGCATGCCCTGAGATTGTGAAAGATGTACTCACCTGAGTTGTGTCCTCACCCCCATAGGAGTTCCCTGGAAGACAGAGCTGTTTGCAGAACCCCACTATGCACCCTGTGCTTGGAGGAACGGAGACACTCCACAGCTACGCCTTGTGGCCACCTCTTCTGCTGGGAGTGCATTACTGAATGGTGCAACACTAAGGTACGTATGCTCCCAGGCTTTGACCCTTGGCAGTTATGCTACCCCACCTCCCAAACCTCTCCTGAATTGGGGGTAGAGAGGTGGACATCTTGTTAAAAGGATGAACCATCCTTGAGGTCAAAGTACCCTGTCAAAGGGAAGCTTCCCCTTTTGGGGCTTGACTGAATATGCGGGTGAAGGGTAGCTGACAGGTGCACAGATAAGGCTACACTTGCTTCCTGGTATGCTCAGCACACTTGGGATGCGAGTGCATGTGCATACACCTGTGTGCCGCTGAGCCGTTTCCAGCAGGACAGGTGCCCAGAGCACACTGCTTCCTGTAAGCAGCAGGGCCCTGGTTGGCCTGTCTAGCCAGTGAGCCACTGCCCTGGCTAAAAGCGGAGGCTACAAGTGAGAAGGAACCCTATGTGGCTGCAGTCCTGCTGTTAAGAGGTAGGCATCCAGGGCTGCAGCACAGAAAACACAGGCACTCACACTGTTAAGTCAGTAATTTGCACAGTGAGTGTCCCCAGGTGCCAGCATGTGGAATGTGTACCCTCCTTTCTCATATAGATGGCACAGTCCTGTCTCTTGAGAGGAAGTACCAGGGTGCATCTAGAGTTGGACCTGGTTGAAGTTCTACAAGGGAGAGACTAGAATAGCATACACAGCCTGATGTCTTTTACCGACGGGAAGACATGGCAGAGGCTCAGTCAGAAAGAAAAGCCAGGAGAGGCCCCAGAAGTCCAAGGTTCATAGGTGTCTAGGGTGGGTGGGCACAGCTATGCTGAGTGCATGTGTGGAACATGAAGAGATGCAATGGGGGTCAGGGCCAGATACAGCGTACAGCTATTGTTGACACCCCACCCCCACCCCACAGACAGAGTGTCCCCTGTGCAGGGAGAAGTTCCCACCCCAGAAGCTGGTCTACCTGAGGCACTACCGATGACCGGGACAGGTCATCACCAAACAGCTCCAACAAGTGGATGGACGTTCACAGAGTTTAACCTCAGAACCGTGGTTGTACAGAAATATAAAATCCTCACACTATTGTCATGAAAGCTACTAGTTCACCTGGGAAGAGAAAGGGTCGGGGCAAGTGGGCAGTACTCCATATGTGGGCAGGAGAGTTTGTTACCCCTTGTTTATTATGGCTTCTTCTCAGACCCTGGAGGTAGTGGGGCCCTCCCTTCCCAAGCCACCCGCTGAGAACTGCTTCAGAAGCTCGGGTGTTTCCTCAGGTCTGTGTGAGAAGCAGGGCTGAGGGTCATGCTGGGGTACAGCACCACGCTGTGGGCTCCACACCCACACAGGTCTGCACTCCTAACACACCACATGCTTATCAATGCGTGTCCCCAACTCCTTAAGGAAATGGAGGTCTCCATTTTGGCCTGCTAGGTAGGAATGGGGGCTGAGTTGCAGAATCTTTTTAATTGTATGAAGGTGCACACAGGTCAGAGAACAACCCGCAGGAGTTGTTTCTTTTTACCATGTGTCTCAGGGAGTAAACTCGGGCTGGGCAGCACATCTTTACTTGTTGAACATCTCGCCAACCTGGCAGAGTTGGCTTGAATGAGTTTTCTCCTATAAACGACACCAGTCCTCTGAAGAAGTTTGGTTGAGTTTTATCTGCTTGGAGGCCTGGATGAACAAGTGTGACCCTGCTTACCCAAAGTCATTGCAGTGTCCAGCTCGTTCTTGGCTTGTCCCTAGTGTGTTTCTTGCCCCCTTTTTACATTTCCAAGCTGACAAAGACAGCCTGGAACATCTTTAAGAGACTAAGTCCACAGAAAAAGTACATTAAGAACAAAAGATCTAGCTGGGTGGTGGTGACACGTACTTTTAATCCCAGCACTAGGGAGGCAGAGGCAGGTGGATCTCAGTGAGTTCAAGGCCCACCTGGTCTATAGAGCTAGTTCTAGGACAGCCAGGCTACAAAGAAAAACCTTGTCTCAAAAAAACCAACAACAAAAATAGATCTAGAAAGACTTCAGAAAATAATGTGAAGATATCTATAATTAGTGATTAGGACTAAAGCTCGGCCAGCAGCAGTGGTGTTTGATGTCACAATGTTCCTTGACAAGGTCCCCTTACCAAGAGCAGGAACTGTTCCTCTAGGGGGAGCAGGGGACCCCTAGAGGAACAGTAACTTCGGGGACCCTATGGAAGACAACGTTCCTGTGGGACCCAGAACACAACTCTGCAGTGATCTGCAGTAACCCATTTGCAACTCACTGCTCTGGCCAGGTACACCCAACTTTCTATCATATCTTGAGCCTGGTCAGTGATGTAGAAAATATAAACAAAAATGTCCACATCTGAACCCACATGCTCACATAGAAAAAAACAAACAAACAAACAAAAAACTTACTTAAACATCATTAGAAAATATGGGTTGAGTGTACAAAATGTGACCTACGAGGAGCATCATAGTGTCAGCAAAAGGGGCCCAGGTGATTGACTTACTCGATATCTGAAATTGTAGGACTGTGAGAACACAACCAAGTAGGGTTCTGAACAAGTCACAGCCTGGGAGGGGAAGCCCACCTGCACCTGACAGCCTCTCTCCCTCCCTCCCTCCTGGTCCTGACAGCCTCCCTCCTTCCCTCCCTCCCTCCCTCCTGGTGTTACTTGGTTGGCTACTCAGTTCCCCTGCTGTAGCTGTGGACAGCAGGCTGTGCTTCAGTAAAATGACTAGTGGTGCAGACGGGAGACTACAAGCAAGGGACACTTTCTTTAATAAAGTTGGAATTTAAAAGTCACTTAGTAAAATGTTTAAAGAGTATTATTCTTTATCACATCAAAAAGTTTGACATGCGGAGGGTTCTGTTTTCCCCATAGAAAGTAAAAGGCCATGTGGCAAACCCCAGACCTGGTGTGCTCTGGCTAGTTCTGGTTCCTTAGAAGTTGTTGCATGAGAACAAGTTTAAATTAATCAAAAGGAAAATATGTTACGTATCAAAGGAAAGTGTCAAAATAATCTCAAACAATTAAAATATAATATATATTTATAATTCCAGGCCCTCAAAAGCAATCATGGTAGTTAAGAACAAAGTTTTGAGTCATTATGATAGAGGCCAACTTGAAAAGCATCTCTAGTGAGATGAGATTCAGAAACTGGCATGAGAACCCCACAGAGCTATGTGAAAATCACGCTCAGTGTTACATTCTTTTTCACACACAGGAAGCAGGCTGGCATGTCCCTCCGGCACGGAGGAGTGGCCTCAGCATGGTCAGGAAGGCAGGGCTGTACTCCCATCCTCCCTCCCGCTCTCCTGGGCGTGTGCCACCCGCCTGACCTCCCAATGGTTCACTATAATTCTGTCCACTTCAAACACATGAACATCACTGAAAAGGAAATCAATGCGATTTGGTTTAAATGCCAGTTTCTTCAAGAACCTGATATTTCAGATACAAATCATTGAGGCTCCTCTTGAAAAGAAAATTCAACTTCCTCATAATCAACTACTTTATATGAAGAAAAAGGCATTGTTACAATGGCTCAAAACCGTTCTTGAATGCGTGTGACAGATTCAGTCCAGCTTCTAACTAGCAAATGTCTTGCCCACGTCCTCCTTCCCTTTGTATCTCCTCTTTCCGTGTGTGAATGGTATGTACCGGTATTTAATCATGTGCTGGGAAAACAAACACACAAACAAACTTGAGTTACTTCAAAACAGTTTACCTGCTTATCCCTTTCCCTAGATCTGATTAGCCAAAGGCACCCCCTCGACTGTTTCTTCCTATCACAATTGAAGTCAAGAGTGCTCCCTCCACAGGTTCTGAGGCCTGTCTGAAATCCCAACTTCTGGAAAGCATTTCATAAGCCTCTGTTTACAAAGAGCTAGGGAAAGCACAGGAAGCACAAGAAGGAAGGATGCAGCTATACCACCAATCTGAGGATGTGTCAAAACACCCTAGCAGGCCACCACAGGACTCTGAGCTAGAAAAAATCACTGGGGCACTGCAGGCCCAACCTGGCCCTACCCAGGGCTTTCCTACTTAGCTTCCAGCAACCTTTGAGGAAGGCCGCCTGTGCTCACAGAGGGCTTAAAGTCTGGGACTCACTGGCCGTGGCCAGAGGCTAAGCACACACAGTCATCACACACAGGAGGCAATGCCCAGCACTAAGACCCAGCATGCTTTCCAGGGACACTGCAGTCACGGGCTGGTAGCCGTCAGCTTGCACAGCAGTGCTACTGTCTTTACCTTTATTTGCCTCTTCATTGTGATACAGAAAAGCATGATGAAGTACATCACCAGGATCGGCCAGAACACGGGGACATTGAAAGCCTCGAAGAAGGTACAGATCATAGCCACAAGAATGCCTTTCGTAGCTGCATGCCTTAAAGCAAAGGGACAAATCAGTATGAGCTGTAGGTAGCACCAGGCACCAGGCACCCGCTGGGGCCTCCAGTCACTCCTGTCTTTGCCTGCTCAGTCATCTGGAATAGTCTGTGTGTACCACACTGAACTACAACCAAGTCCTCTTAGCCTTCTGAAAGCTAAGGCTTCTTAAACTTGTACAAAGAATAAAACACCTCAGCTACAGCCAAATGCACCTCATGCCTGTGACCTGGAACTGCCATCTGAAGCAATAACCTAGGTCCTGGGCCTAACAGTGGGACCTGAGTACAGGACAGTGCCCCCCCCCCCACCCCGGAGCCTGAGCACAGCACGGTGCCCCCCACCCTGGGTACACAAGAGGGTAAGCAGTGGGCAACAATGCTGGACTTCCTTCACAATACCTAACCTTGACCATTACACAATGTATGTGTGCCAAAATGTCACTCCACGTGCACTGTATATGGACAATTACTATGTGTTTGTACAAATATGACATACGGATAGATGTATGTATTTTATTGTTCAAAAGGAAAGAAAAACCACTCACCAAAATTTGAATTCTGGGAGCCTTCGAATGAAGGGACGGAACTCTTCGTTTTGTTTGGTTGGTAATGAAGGGCCATCATCTGAAAGTTAGAGCATTAGCTAGAGATGAAATATCTGCCTCTTACCTTTGCATTTCTGCCCCAACTTACAAGTCTTCCCTAAATGCTTCTGAACTGCTGGGTCTCACATATGGCAACAGATTTATTCAACTGGAGATAAAGTGTGGGGAAACTCCAAGCGAGACTTGTTTTATAAAAGCTTTGTACACTCTTTAAACACATTATAAAAGAAAATTCAACTTCATACAGATTTTTCATTTGTTGTACTATATGATTATATAAATTAAGACAAACTGACAGTTACATAAAACAAGTAGTGAAGAGAGAGTGTAGCCATGCAGTGTGCACGCCTCTAACCCTAGCACTGGACAGGCAGAAGCACAGTGAGTTCATGGCAGCATGATGCACACAGAAAACCATGGTCACAGGAACATAAGGAATGTCACTGAGATAGCGCAGCAGATAGACACTCGGCTGCCACGCCAACAGTCCCTGGAACCCACATGGTAGAGAGAACCAAATCCTCCAAGTCCTCTGACTTCCACATGTGACATACCCACTTAAAAAAACAAAGAGCCAGGCGGTGATGGTGCACACCTTTAATCCCAGTACTTGGGAGGCAGAAGTAGGAAGATCTCCGAGTTCCAGGACAGCCAGGGCTACACAAAACAAAACAAAACAAAATGCAGGCAAGACTGTCCTTGTTCACAAACCTATGGAGTAGAGCCTATGCACCAGGACTACCAAGTGCAAGGCCTCTTCTCTTCTACCCTATTTACAGAAGGAGAAGCTGAAATCTGCAGGAAGTGCTTCTGGTTATCAAGTCTCGCTAAATGGTGACAGACTTCTAATCATCCAATATGAAATCAGTACTGGAGCAGCTCCTCCACAAAAGCAGAGACCCTGCAAAGGTTCATTATCTGTCAGCCGCAGCCCAAAGGTGGCCTCACTTGGGGACAATGTAAGCCCATAAGCCTGGTACAAAAACACACCAAGAACATTTCAACTCAGAAACCATGGAGCCCAATACCCTCAGCCTGGACTAGCTCCTGGCAACCAGGGTCCTACTGATCGGTGCTGTTCCTGCTGTACACTGCTCCTGTATTTAGTGGTCGCACCAGAGTGACCTAACAGTGAAGCAGAGGAGCAGCCCCCTGGCCTGCTCATGTGTGCCATGCTTGCAGTTGACTTTGGATATGTTATTTAACCCCAGTGTTTCAGTTTCTCCCTAAGCAAAATGGGGATAAAGAATGAACCTTCTCACAGCGGATTTAATGAATAATCCTACAGACAAATTCATCCTAACCCATACAAGCACATACAAACATCAGAAGCCCAGGTCCAAGTGTTCCCAAACCCATGGACTGCCCCAAAAGAATGCAGAGGCATAGAGCAGCCTGGACAGCACAACAGCCCGGACTGTACCTGAATCTTCCATCAAGGAAGGGTCCACTTTGGGAGAAAGGAACGCTATGAAAAGGTTTAGGTGGTAAATTCCCAAGGCATAGGTCACAATGTACCAACCCTGGAAGAGAAAGAAAGCCATCATCAATCAGTAGCCCAGCTACTGCCAGCTGGAACGGGTTCACTGAGCCCAGACCCATGAAGTTCCGTTGTACTATGAACACGTTTATTCAAGGTGAAGTGGTAAGAATTGACAGGAATGTTCCACAGTGACCACTTACCTCAACTTACCTTGTGGGTTTGACATGACTGCAGCCTATAACCCAGATATCAAACTTCAAAAATAAATGTGCATGACAGTCGGCCACAGTCCTGACCAAGACTGGCTACAGCATAAGAGAAAGCTCTCCTCAACAAGCACACGGCCTGCCCCATAGGGCTAATGTGGGCTGGGCCCCTGGGTGACATTCAATTGTACTCCTGGCCTCAAAACCCTCTGTGAGCAAACAGGTTCACAAGGAGTCTACAACAGAATGCCAGCTACACACACTATACACACAACTGACAGCCCTCTATAGACAGCCTCTAACACTTCACTTGGAGTGCCGGCCTCCTCAAAGAAGAGGAAACCCAGAACCAGACCCAGGAAATCAAGGGAAAAGTGCATGTGTGCAATCCTTCCTTCCTTCCTTCCTTCCTTCCTTCCTTCCTTCCTTCCTTCCTTCCTTCCTTTTTTGGTTCAAGTCAGGGTTTCTCTGTGTAGCCCTGGCTGTCCTAGAACTCACTCTGTAGACCAGGGTTGGCCTTCAACTTAGAGATCCTCCTGCCTCTGCCTCCAGTGCTGGGATTAAAGGCCTGCGCCTGCATGCCACACCAGGCGAGAAATCAAGAGTAAAGTTTTCAAGCCTAACTTTCCACAGAAGACAAAGAATTGGGGACCCCTGCAGCCCTACATTAGCATTAGCACACTCTAGGGACCCCTGCAGTTCCTACATTAACACACTAAATCATCAGGCTTGCCCTAGTTGATTTCCAGAACTGAATCATACACCTTAAAAGCCTATACTTTCATACAAACAAAAGGAAACTTTTCTGCCTAAAAAATTTTCAAGTCAGACAACTAGAAACTACATGTAAGTCAATTCTATGCACACATGCTATCATGTTGCAAAGCCAAGCTTTGAGGAATGCCAGGTCAGGCACAAATCTGATTCAGAACAGAGTACAACCAACCCGTGTGCCATGCCCCACCCCCACCCCAAGGCTGCCAGTCCAGTCTTTCCACTAGTGAATCGACCAAGTTCCAATAAACAGAAACTCAACGCTAACTTCAGACATGAGGTTCAGATCAAGTCCTTTTAGAATAAACCAGAGGGCAGATAGCCTACCACCACGTCATGCTAAAC